TTCCAATGTTTATCATTTATATTTGGATATCTACAATTTATATCGTTATTTCATCTTATCTTATTTTTACGGGATTTTTTGTTTATGATGATATTGATGAATTACGAAAAAGAAAAGAATTTCTAAGCGCTGAAGAAGTAAATGAAGAAGATTGTTGTTCGTTTATGTTTACTCAAAAAGAAATACCACATGTGGCATTTAGTATGATATTAGCATTATTTATAACAACATTTCCCATTTTATTATCAATTTTTTTCAATTATTCACAATTTTTTTACTATGGTGATGGTTATTTGAGAACAATTCAAAATGATTTCAATTCACGAAGTACTGAACAATATTTCAACATATTACAAAATTTTTTTAAACAAATTTTACATTCGCTTCTAAATTTTTTGTAAAACAAATAATTTCACCTTCACTCTTGAAATATATCTCTACTAAAACGGAAACCGACTATGACTAACAGCGTTAGAGTCTATTTTTATTTTTTATAAATAATTGAATAAGAACGATTGAATAAATCTTTAATTGCAAATGATAGTTTGTATATATTTTTTTCTTATTTTGATATTCATAGTTATTTTAGTGAAGAGAATGTTTAAAATAGATTTATTTATTTATTTATTTATTTATCTTCTTTCATAAAAGTCTTTGTTGCTTTCGTAATAAGTTCATTTGGAATGATATGACCAACACCAACCATCACTTTAACTTTTGTTGATCCATAAACTCGATGGTCACCTTTCATAAGAGCATCATAACCACGTTGAGCAACATCTGCTGGATCATCAGCAGTATCTGTTTTGTTTGCTTTTGTTTCACTTGCCTCAGCTTTATTGAAAAAATCCTTTGAAAATAAACGAGAATAATAATTTTTTTCAATAAAATAAATATTTCTTACTGTATCAGTAATTCCTGGTACGAGTAATGTTGCAGTAACATTGGTATGTTTCAATTCTTCGATGAGTGCATCTGTATAATTGGCAATAAATGCTTTGGTAGCAGCATAACAAGCTAATAATGGATTTGGTTGAAATGATGCAATACTTCCGAGCATTAAAATTTTTCCTTCATTTCTTTCAATCATTTCCGGTAAAACAAGTTTTGTTAATTCAACTAATGAAGTTATATTTAAATGAATCATATCAATATCTTTTTGAATATCTGTTTCCCAAACAGTTCCACGAAGACCAACTCCAGCATTATTAATTAAATAATCAATAGGTAATTTATAACGTTCTTTTATTTCTTTAAAAAGTTCTTGAGCAGAACCAACTTTTGACAGATCTTTTGCAATGGTAATTACTTGTGGACAATGATATTTTACTGTTAATTCTTCTGCAACTTTTTCGAGATCAGATTCAGTACGTGCAACAAGAATAACTCCATATTTATCAGCAGCAAATAATCGTGCTAAATGATATCCAATTCCACTTGATCCACCAGTAACTAAACTAGAAACGTTTTTTTATTCATTAAAAATAAATAAAATACTTTACTTAATGCCATTCTTAAATTAGTTGAACTCATTGTGTCTTTTTCAAAATTATTTTATGTAAAAATAAAATCTAATAAGTGTATGTCTATTTATAAGACACTGAATATAAACTCGATGCATCTATCTCGTGTTAGAAAACGTGATCAATTCAACTCGTCAATGATCAATACATACAAAAATTATAATCAAACAGATGTCACTTCTCTTCAGATACGAAATAGTAAGATAATTATGTGTTAAATCAAATATTTGTCTAAACCAAAACAAAATCAATGAATACAATTCTATATGTCCTTCTTTTCAATTAAATATTTCAATATATCTAACAAAGAAGATATTTTACATATTACTGATAAGAAAAATAAAAGGTGAGAGTTTTGGGACAAAAGCAACAAATGTATTGCAGTTACATAGATAAATGGCAGACATATGCGTCATAATATATTTAAAATAGAATTTTCTTATTTTCTAATTTTTTCTCAATTACAATAATATGACATTTTCCTTCGGTAGATATAAGAGATGGAAATGACGTCGCGAATACATTATAATATTTATTTTTAGTGTAATTATATACTTAAGATTTTTAAGGGTAGCTAAAATCTATTCGGAAAGCTATAGAATAGAAACAAAGTAATGCGTCATTTTGCTTTTATTTCAATCTTTGCAAATAAAAGCATCTTAATTTATCAATCTAATAGTATTTTCTTGTCAAACAAGAATGCGGTTACTTATTTTGTTGATTCTGATAATAATTGTTGTTAGAATTAATTGTACAACTCGTGTTGGCTATATTTATAATGCAACATATACTTCTACTGACATCACTACTATTATTACATTTGTTAATTCATGTTCAGAATGTATTTGCTATGGATTCTTCAGCTCTCTAACTCCATTATACGTAGGAATGAATTGTTATACAAATAATAATACATGTGAATTATTCGCTAATTATTCATCTTCATCATCATCATCATCATCATCATCATCATCATCATCATCATCAATAGTGAAGTTTGATCTCAATTCCATATTTATATTTATACAACAACCGCCATTGCAAAACACAGCAACAATAACAACGACAACAATAGCAACAACAACAACAACAACAGCAACAATAACAACAACAACAGCAACAATAACAACAACAACAACAACAACAACAGGTAATTAAATACTTTTTATAAGGAGTGAAAGAAAAACATTGAACAGAAACTTTACTTGTCATTTTTTAGTAGCAACTCGACCGATTGGTGTCACGGTTGCTGGTTATGGAAATGGTACTTCAGGAACTGCTAATAATGCTCTGAATAAACCATCAGGATTGGCAATAGGAGTGGATGGATCACTTTACATCAGTGATTATTATAATTCTAGAGTAATACAAATACAAGAAGGAAATTTAACTGGGAAGATCGTAGCCGGCACAGGAATATCGGGTAATAGTGTCGTGCAATTGAAGAATCCAACAGGATTAGCTTTAGATGCATCTTCAAATCTTTATGTCAGCGATGATTATAATTATAGAGTGATGTTATGGAGGAAAAATTCATCGGCAGGTATACTAGCAGCGGGAACTGGCGCTTCTGGAACTTCATTGAACAAGTTTAGTACAACAGGTGGATTAAAAATTGATTCACAAGGAAATATTTACGTTGTTGATCATGGCAATAATCGAGTAATGAAATATGCACAGAACGCTACTTCAGGCACGCTCGTAGCTAGCATTTCAGGTGTAGTAGGTAGTAACAATTCACTATTCGATCAACCGCATGAACTTGACTTAGATGAAAATAATTCTTATATTTACATCGCTGATTTAAATAATCATCGAATTCAACGTTGGAGTCCAGGAGCAACAAGTGGAGTGACAGTTGTAGGTGTAACGGGAATCAGCGGGACTAATGCGACGTTATTGAATGGACCTTTTAGTATAGCTTTAAGTATGAACGAAACTTTCTTATATGTATGTGATTCAGGCAATCATCGAGTACAAAGATTTCAAATCCTATGATTAACTTATACTAAATACTGCTGACAATATGTAGAGCATATTCGTATTCTAATATCAATTTAATCTTTTTAAACCTTTAAATACATTACAAATAAATTAACTAAATCTTTTTAAAGTATGAATCAATGTGAATATGTAAGAGATAAACTCAAATTCACATTAATATTAAAATCAGATGTGATCATCTAGCGGGTGGGTCTGGTTGAAATAAAATAATCACACCCACACCTACATTTAATGTTACAAGTAGATTTTTTTCTGACACTCTGTGAATTATGACATCTATAAAATCTTCATATTTTTTTCTATTCTTCGTCAGTTGTGTTGACGATATACGTTAAGTGAAGAAACAAATCATACTTTACATACGCGTGAGTCAACCTCTTTCTTTTTAATAAGTAACGACTATTAGCGTTATAAAACAAAGCTTGTAATACTCATACTAGAGATGTATTTGGAATATGATATGAATGGAGAAATGGCGTTTTATTTTATGGTTCCATTCGTTGTGTTTATTCTTATGATAATAACATGTTGTTCATGGTCTGAGAATGAAGAAATCTCTTCTGTTCTTACAGATCATAATCAATATCGATCATCACAAGTAAATAAATCTAAACAAAAACGGCACCGAACATTAGTTAGAATTGGTTTAATCGTAGTATGGATTGTTTTGTTTATCGTTGTTTATTATATGTCACCAACTATTGATGACAATCTCCAAGAATTCGATCCATTTCTAATATTGGACGTCGATGAAGATACATCAAACAATGATATAAGACATGCCTATCATGCATTAAGTAAATAACATCACCCGGATCAAGGTGGTGATCCTGAAAATTTTAAAAAACTTGTTAAAGCCTACAAAATTCTAACTGATGAGACAACAAAGGAAAACTGGAGAATGTATGGTAATCCTGATGGACAAAAAGAATTACATTTAGGTTATGCTCTATCATCATGGTTTTTTGATACAAAAAATTCTATGTTCATTCTATGTGCTTATACTAGCATTTTTATTGTTTTCGCCCTAAAGTGTTGTTTATGTTATTGATTAGAAAAATTTCATCATATTATTGTCAGTATTAAAACTTTGCAACGTATATTATTTCTTTGATGTGAATCATACGACAATCTGTCAGAAAAATAAATATTATAACTTCAGTTTTGTTCTTTCTTTCAAAATATTACTCATCAATGATGCTTCATATGATAGAATGGTTTTATTGATGTACAGCTCTTTCAAGCCAATCTCTAGATATATGCCATCATATGGATTCTCAAAAAGATAGTACTGATATTCTCTTCATATCATCAAAGGATGTGGGCGTCACTTTTTTTACATCGTCACCCACACCCACCCTCAAGATTAAGAAGTGCTTCTTTATTTATCGTTAGTTTTATTTTGATAAGCAGCACAAATAATGAGTAGTTAAAAAAATGCTAAACGATATTAATTAAAACTTCAATCGGTATGTGATCCGATCCAAATTGTTTCAAACATTCCTCTAAATCATTTATCTTAGTCGATACATCGACATTTTTCACTTGGAAGTACCCTTCTTCAATCCATATATGATCGCATTGCCTCGTTCCTCTTCCATCTTCGCTAAAATATGTACTTGGATCTCCCTGAATTGCATTTACAAATTTTATCGTTGTGTGCTTCTTGAACATTTTTTCCATTTCATGTCTTGTAGCATTCATATCACCAAGAACAATAAATGGTCCTGCAAACTGTCTGAAAACGAGCTCTTCCAATTGAGCAAACTGTTTTCCTTTTACATTATAGTCTAGATGTACGTTCACAATCGAAAATCGTTTTCCATCGTTCGTTTCACAATTTATAACTTGACACTTTTTACCATTATCAAATGAAACTGGTACAATATCATATTTCCCTGCCCATGTTTTTGACATGAGTGTCATAGCACCGGCACTATGTGCATTAACGGGTTCGGATTTGGAAGCTAGAAACATAAATAATATAGCACAAATTATTTCAGACATAGCTACTGAAGAACAGATTTCAGAGACAAAATACTTTCTTACAAAAATAATCTCTATTGCACACCTTATGTACGACAAAGCTGTATCACATGTCATCTTAAAATATATCTACAGAAGTTTGAGAAGACCAACACATCGTCATAATAATCTAATCTTTTTCGAAAACATGCGGCATTCTGAGAAATCAAAATCTTCAATTGAGTGCAGTTTTCCTATTCTACAATGTTCAACATTGCCGAATAGAATATATTCTCTCAATCAATAATCTGTGCAACTGCTTGCAGGTTATAGTTCAAAGAGCTCTTCCATTACATATTCTTTCGAGTCTTGCAGAATGTCGAAGGATAGTTGGGACTGTAGTCGACGTATATACCTGAAAACAAGAATTGCACACACATATATATATGAAGAAGAAGAAGAAGAAAAGAAAAACAATAACAAGGACAAACTGCATTTGCATTTCAAAAAATCATTGATAGATATTTTTTAAAGTGAGAGCTCAAAGTTCTCTAATAGAATTTGCTTTTACTTTTAATTGCCTTTTTTTCGAGAACAACTAACAGTTTATTCTAATGAACTTACCAGGGGATGAACAATCATATCTTGACGAAAAATGTTTGTCAAATAGAAATCGATCTTGTTCCTGCGCTTCCTGTAGCATAATGAAGTCAGCTGAGGAGTTTTGCATTAGGCGTAATGTATGTTCGCGGCGATTTTGATAGTCGAGAAGGTTAGATGGAGTATTTGGGTAGTATTGTTTTTTAACAAAGGCAGCAGCTAAGACATTGTATGTAACAATGCGTATGTCAGTCATTTTTCTGCTTCAACACTTATGACTTGTGTGAAATAAAACGTCAAAATGAGGAGAAAAAACGACGCACGCAGTATTAATAAATGGTGATAGAAAGAAAAGATATATAAGTAAATATTGACTCATGTTATTTCACAACCTATATGCAGGCTGATGACATTTGTTTTCTGCACCCTCACTGTTCTAGATTAATTGACTGTTTTTATTTGTTTTATAAAGCACTTTGAAAAAATGTGATTGTCATAAATAAAAGTAATCACAAGATAAATGTGTGTTCTATTTGTAGGTGATTAAATATTCGGCAAAAGCTTGTGCATCATGATAGATCACAAAAATATGTCTTCCGTTAGTTGTCGAGTCGAAACCATCGGGTGGACTCCTTATTAAACTATTTCCTTGAGTTGTATTTCCAATGAGCACACGAGCCATGAACATACATCGTTCTGCATTCGAATCTGGATCAGTAAAACTATGGCTATAATCAGCATACGATGAAAAATAAACACCCACACCATATACTGTACCTAATTATAAAATAAAAATTATAGACTCTATAGAATGCAGTAATATTAAAATAGCATACCATGTTTTCCAGCAAAACTTCGATTAAAACAGTTTTTAATAATCGAGTCTGCTACCTGTTGAGAACAACCATGGTACAGACATTTTTCAGTATCTGTATTAAGCCGTTGTCGAAATTCTTTACTATGTGCTACATATTGTGCATACCATCGTTCATTTTGAATTCGTTCGAGTTGTATTATTGCAGTATATTTTCTATTCATTGTCTGATCGAAATCAGCGATAATCGATTTATATTCAGCACTATTGCTTGGTACGACAAAACGTAATTTATTTCCCGTTGATTGCTCCCATGTTGAAGGTAGTTGATAATCGATTGACGTTCCAAATTCTATTAAAATTAAAAGAATGTTTGCTGTGAATATCTTTACTGAAATTTATATCGTACCTTCTCGGGATGACAAGATTTGATTACAAAACTGATTAAAAATAGTTTGTTGTTTAGATTGAATAACAAACTTCACTGTTAATGGTATACTTCTCATTGCAAGTTGATGTTTAATTTCTTTAACCATCGTCTTAACTACAATATTTGTAGGACAGCGGTACTGTCCACATCCAATAGCTGGAAATGCAACTGAAGTAAATTTATATAAAATAACATTCTGAATAATATTCCATATAAAATCAACGATTGATTGTTGAAGAACATCTTCATTTCTATCTGGATCCCATTTGATAAAAAATATCTGTTTACATGGTAGCTTACCAGATGGAATTGAGAGTATGAGTGATTTTTGATTATTTTCATATTCTTTTGCATACGCTATTTTAACATCGTTACCAGCTGCATTCATTATTTCTTTCTTTAAAATATCTGACGATGAGTTTCCAATGATAACATCAACCTATCAGTAATAATAGAGAAGAAATATACTTGATATTGATAAAAATCCAGCTTTTAGTACTTACTTTTTGCGTTGTTATGTCACCTATTTCAACTTCAACCGTTCCTTTTCCAATGGCTACTGATAAAGATTTTATTTCTGAGGTCTCTTGAATTAGGTTAATTTGTGCTTGGAACTCGTTGTAAATGTCTGTTCTATTTGGTAGTATCACAAAGGAAACAGACAGAGGATACTTTACTAGTTGACGAAAAACTTCATCAACAAGTGTCCAAGCCACAAAACTGATTGAACATCCGTATTGACCGCAACCGACAGCGGGAAATGCAATACTTTTATAGTTTTCGGTTGCTGCTTTTTCCATTGCATTTGAGACAAATTTTCTAATTGATTCACAACATTTAATGTTATCTATATTGGGTTTCCATGGAAGAAAGTAAACTGTTTTCGCTGCTAGCTGACCACTAGCTGCAATAGAAATGATAGGGGCGGTTGGATTATTTTTGTATTCAGTTTCAAATGAGTACTTCATCAAATCTCCACCGATTTTCAAAACACTTTCATGCAAAGTCGTTGACAACGAACACACAACGACAACATCGCTCTAAAGTAGAAGTGAGTGAATCCATCTCATTAATTTAAAATACTTGATCTTACTTGTTCGACTATTAAATCACCTTGATAAATGTGAACTAAAGCATTCAAATCTCTGTTAATAATCGGTTTCTGTAATAGAGAAAACAAAGAATATAAGATATGTCTTTAGAATACTGAATCTTTTCAATTACTAATTATATGAAATACTTACCATCGATGAGGTACTCGAATTCAAAACTAAATTTCGTAATTCATTGCATCTTTCGGAATAAAGTTTGTAGCAAGCATTACCTTAAAGAAAAAAAGACGTTCAAAATTTTAAATCTCGTATATTTTTCATAATAACCTTTAGGACAATAATAAATTGGACTGAGCTTCGAGATACGTTCGTTAAAGAGAGTAATTTGAGTTTGACGATTAAAATTCTCTACACAATCTACGAACCAGCTAAAACCGAATTCACGATCGCACGTGCTGGCTCGTTCATTAGTTATCAAAATATCCCAAAGTTCTTCGGTATGTTTGTGTAAGAAAGAAGAATTGCCTCTTTTTAACACAGATGAAAGTATTTCAAGATGATTTTTCGTCGATTCTTGGAATGTGAGATGTCCATCAACTAATGTGTCGGGCATTACACTACCTTCCGTCTTGTTCCACATATCTTGTTGAATATTTGAAAGATTTTCAATTAGAACATTGATGACATTATATTTGTTAACTAAGATTTCAATAAAATTTTTATTATTTGTAGGATCAAGACGCAATATTTCGTTGAGATATTTGACCGAGCGTGCGTGCCAAACTTCTTTTCGCTGAACAAGTTCTATGCATTTGGCACTATAATCACGTCCGAATTCGTCGTATTCCGAACGATCTTCGCTAAGAATTTGATAGTGACTACGAAGGAAACAGTCGAGCATCGATGGACTTAAACCGTTAGTAAGTGTCGCGTCCCATAAAACTTGTAAAATCTATTACAAAACTATAAACCTGTTCTAGTTTTTCCTAAAGTTTTTATGAGCCTACCCGAGCAGTCGATTGTTTTTCACATTTAAGACCAATTTCACCTAACAATACGATAGACTCCATATGCATAGGCATCGTTCGTGTTTTCCACGACTAAAATCTTCACAAAATTCAAAATCTTACTTTATTTATTAAAAACTCACTTCATCGATACAATCAATTAAATGATTCAGCTGTTCTGAATTGAATTTGACTATTTCAGCAAATATGAAGGATAATTGACCATGCTAAATGCATAAATAATATTTTACCAATGTGTCTTCCATAGTAACGAAAGATTTCTACCTGCATTTTCCATAACTTTTCAAAGTCCTCTTTCAAAAAGTGTGGTGCAGCAAAACCTATTAGTACACACACTTTTTTCATATATTCTATTTGAGCGATATTTCCTGTTTATGTGCAAGAATCGATTATTTATTTGATAAAAGTTTTCATTATAAGATAATTTACCTTCAAGTGCTTTCCATAGAATTGAATTTTCCGTTATATATGCGGTGAGTACATCATGTGGGATTAATGTATTATTTTCAAAAAGTTTAGCGAGCTAATAAAAAGAAAACTTTAAATTGTTGTAGTATTAACAAAAAAATAAAAGTTATCATACTTGTATCATTGAATTCATTTTAGCATTGAAATTTGTTTGAGTAATCATTTGTAAAATGAGATTTAGATGCAAGTATTCAATACGTTTAAGACAATGTGGCCATACGACTGAGCAAAGTTTTTGTAAAGTGGACAACAATTCGAATGTGTTGTTTATCGACTAAAGTTCTCACATTTATATTATAATTGCAGATAAAGAAAAGAAATAATACAAACTTCAATATGAAAATCTTGTTCTTTTAAATTTTCGATATAATTAAATATTTGATCAATATCTTTGCCGAATAACATTCGATACTTTCCTTTCATAATATAATTTATACAATTAACAAATGGAGCTAGTAGAGCATTGTATTCCTAGAAACGACAAACGTTATATTAACAATTTGTATGATTATTTGTATACCAAGGCAGTGAATGATTGATAATTTTCAAATTGTTCTGCCAAATTCTGAATTCCTTTTTGTTCCACGAATCGATTAATAATTTGACAGAGCCAACCGTGTGTATCACTCGACGTGATCAACAAAAATGAAGGACACGATAGTAAACGATCATCTAATTCTTCATTAGAGAAACAATATTGAAACGATTGATTTTTATGCTTCTGATGAAAAACAGAATTTGAATCGAAGAGTATAGCCAATGTTGAAAGTAATTGAATAGGCACAGGTGTATATGAAAGTCGAGCAGCAATTAAGTCGATTAGTAATATTGTTATTTCATATATGCTGAGTTGTACTTCATGTGACCAATTATTAATATGATGTGAACAATGTAACTAGACGAGTTCAAAGAAGAAATTCGATGAAAATGAAACGAAGAAAAACGACGTACTTTTCTAAAAGCTTCGGGAATAAGAACTTCCATGAATTTTTTGCAACATTCATCTTCATCAGCAATACCTATTGGATTAGATGAATAGATTGAAAATAAATCAACAAAGAAATATTTTTACTTTACCAAGAAGAGCAAGGTTAGTAGCAGATAAAAGACATGCACTTAATGATTCTTCACCTAAAATACAAAATAAACGATATCGATCACCGAATCTGTTCATATACCGTCTAACTTACGTTTCAATGGAATCGTCCAGTTCTCACCATAAATTTTTGTTTCCAAATCCAAGAAAGCACCTGTAGTAAACAAATTCGAATCGTTATTCATTTGATTGTCCGACTTTGTTGTTGACAATATATTTGGATTATTTTTGAAAAAAGCCTAGTAAATAGAATGACAGAATACATATGTATATTAATAGCGAGCTCCTGAAAAACAGATCTTTTGTCTCTCTTAAAAAGACTAACCATTCGTTGTTCGAATTGTTCATTCACAAACGATTCAAGAGCTATTATATCATTTGTGTTATCATTAACACTCGTGGATCTATGAAGAATGTTATCATTATCGATATTAATTATCCAATTATCTTCCAGAGGTAATTCAGGATCGGTAAAATCTAAAAAAAAGTAATGTTATAAATATTTTCTTTGATATTTCTTATGTTACTCGATGTTGTTAAATGGGATTCATCATTATTTACTGCAATAATCGCTGAGTTTCTAATTCGAATGAAAATGAAATATTAATCTTAATAAAGCAAATAATAATTTTTGATCTCACCTATTGTTCGTGTTGTGTTCTATACATTTGCGTTTAGAAACATTGTCACTTGCATTGTCGTCTAATGATGTATCAGTTGAACAGTTAATACGTTTCATTACAATCGTAGTCGAGTTAAATCTACGAGATCTATCTGAAATGAGTCGAACATCATTTTATAAACTCATTCGATGGGAACATTTAATAGGTTCGTTCATCATTTAGTATTATCGAACAGTATAGCAGAAAATTCTATAAAAAATTTCATTATATATAGATCTTTGACAGAAGTAACAGATTTCGAAATTAGAAAAAATGCGAATAAATTAAAAAGATATACATACTTGTTTAGTCACTTATCCTATTTTTTGTGCGAGGATCTATCGAAGGTATTTAGAAAGAAATATAAACTAACTTCGCTTCACTTGATGTAATACTCTATTCATTAAAAAAAAAGAAAGAATCGACATAACGTGCGCATATAATGCGCTTTATTATTAACAGAATGGTGACGTCTTACATTTTTCTCTTTCGTTCTTTTATTTGGAAAAAACCTTTATGAATCATTTTTTTTGTTAAGAAAAAAAAATGAAGAAAATATTTTATTAAAACGAATAACATCATTTTTATTCTAAACATTTGATAATGTAATCAGGTAATATTTTTTCAGAATGAATTATCATTTTTATAATTTGTAGATCATTCTATCGTTTACACTGTAAATATAGAGACGTAATCAATGAAAATGACAAACTAATATATGTGTTTATTGTGCCACACATTTCGAAATGTTCCATACGACGACAAGGAGACTGGGAAAAAACAATGGTAGTGGGGAAAAAAGGAATGAGAGGAAAAAACACGTGAAACATATATATGAAGAGATAAGTAAAAGAAACTAGAGAATGACATTCTAACAAGAAGATTTTTTCAAGTTTAATGTCATGTTATAAGACTTATCCTTATACAAACCGTAATCTTCATATGAATTTATTGATAAATCTGTTGAAAAATGGATATCTATAAAATAATCATAAATGGATAAGTAACATTCAAATGTGAATCTGAAGACGTGAGGTATACATCGTAAAATTAAATAGTTTCATGATTAAAAGTGACATGTAGATAGAATAATATGAATCAATGTATATATTAATGATAAATAATTTGCTTCGTCATCTCTTCGTGTCTACAGTAAAACATTTACCTAAACGTGATTTTTATTTGACCATAATTTCATTTTTTATCTACAAATTAAATAAAGTTGACAAATTTGTTATTTTCAATATTTATGACAAAACATATCAAACATTTTTTTTCCCGTTTTTTGCGCAATTTATAACCTTGACTTTGCCCCATACAAGCATAAGAGAAAAACAATCGACAATCCACGTGCATCCTTCTTGTAGATGTAATAGGTATTATTCATATGCTTTTTCTTCCTTTTCAAAAGGTAAATATTATCAATGAGTCACTGATACGTTGACAAAAATCAAACACCATTGATCATTGATTGTCTTATTATAAACTGAATGAAGATCAAATTAAAAAGACACAGTAAGAATCATGCAAAAAGTATATCTGTATAAGTATCAAGGACATAATATTTAAATAATAAAACCAAAATTTATCTAGAACTACTTGTAAAATAAATCACATGTTTATGTGGATATGTATCGAAGTGAACGATCTTTCCACAATTTATCCAATCACATTTATAGAGAACTCTAAATCTACCTACTTCCTTATTGATTTTATTATGTTGATGGATGGGTGTTTGAGTCTGGATGAATATGCATATGAATATTGCATTCATAGCCACACTCACATCCATCCGTCTAATGTATGAATTATTTTCGGAAATCTTTATGCGTTACATAGAAAAAAAGAGAATCTGCTGTAGAAATATTTATAAGTATTGAAATAAATTAAACCAGAATTTAGGGGACGTCAGCTTTCAGTTTCATTCACATTCTCATGTTCTAATTCCTTAAAAGTAAATGGAAATTACCATTCCACTGGGAATGGGAAAAAGTTGTTCCTGCAGGAAACTATTACTCACACTCTTACCTTCAACATTATAAACAAATTTCCTATGTTTATACAATTCTGTCAGAACAATAACATTGTATTTCTTCTCTGGGTTTTTTTTCATGACATGATGCCGTCGTCTAGTAGCATATAAAAGAAAGAGAAAAGACTGCATCACAACAAAAGAAATATTCTACGACTCGTAAATACGTTGATTTCGAAGAAAAAAAATGGCATCAAATACACCAACTGGTGGTTGGAGAGTTAAAGTTGTTTCTCTTCCCGAGTCTGTCACATATGCTCAACTAACTCAAACATTCGCTCTTCCATATTCTTGCGTTTACCTTCCCAAGGTCGACGATGTTGGTACTTGTTATGCATGGATCGAGAATTTTACTGATGAAGAAGAAGCAAACAAGTTTGCAAAACAATGGACAAATTCAACAGTTTTTGGTAGACATATAAAGTGTATCGTGAAACCGCCAATTATTAAACCAGATATTCTCCGTCCGTCACATAAATCATCAAGGTCCGGTATCAATAAATTGTCGCACAATAAACCTGGAGTAAGTGCTACTTGGCAAGATTTTGAAAAATGTGAAAAATATAAGTTGTGCGATAAACGTGGAGGCGAATATAAACGTCCGGACCATTCTGCTACAAATAACGAGTCCAACAGTATCGAAACCGAGACATCAGGTAAGTCATTATATATCATCATACCAGTTAGGTTTATTTTTAAAATAAGATCTGAACAATTAATTCAAATATTCTTTTAGTTTCATAATCCATAAAGACGTTTTTGAAAATTTCTATACTTACAGGCAAAATCACATTGAAATACTTCAACTTTGAATTTGCAACGAAATTTCTAATCTGCTGTCGCAGTCTATAAGGCTTTACTAAAATATTGACTCAAAATTTTGTACACATAAAGGTTAATATATTTATCTGCTCACTGCATCCCATCTATCTTTATCGTAATGTGATGAAAGTAGATCTCATATTTAACTGTCATTTTTAGAAAATCAAAAGTTTGTTGCATTTGTTAAGCACGCCTATATACAGTGTGATGGTAATCGATGTGCCAAATGTGAACGATGTCGTGATTGGTATTTTACTGGCAGTCCGAAAGACTGCCGATGGATTCAAGATTACAAAAATGGCAAAAATGACGAATGGCGACGTTTTTACGGTGGTGGTCTCGATAAAGATTTTGCGCGTCGTAGTGATGCAAAGTGTTCAAAGAGGGACTTGGTCGATCATGATAATAATTACTCAGATAGTTGTGCTATTCGTTGTGATCTTAGGAGTTCTATTTGTCTTTGTGAAGATAATATGAATGTCGAAAAATCGATGAACAAAAACAAATACTCACATGTTATAAAAAATGTTATATGAAGAAGACTGAAATTCTTAAAAATAATCTTGGTTGAATTACAATATAATAAATACAATGATATTTTTTCTCTTATAAATAAACGAGCTAAATAATTTATGTACGCTTTTCAATACTATGTACGGTCGTAATAAACACAAAAACAAAAGAGAAGTAAGATAGATACTTTTTTCAGCGAAGCCGAGTTGATATTAAAATGTAAAACATATATGTATCCTTTGCCGTTATTATATGGATACAGAATATCTTATAAGTCCTAGTAGAAACCTAAGGCGAACAAGATATGGATAGATGTTAAATACATTCTCTTGCATGTATAAATAAACATTATATTTCAGTAAACATTCACTACCCATAGGATGTAGCCAACGATACGTGTTTTGTTCAATGCTATGACATAGTAGTGATTTTTTTTCATTTATCTTGAATCCATTTTCGAGCACATTCAAAATTTTCGTTATCGTACGAAAACGTTGCTCGGTTAAGATTTAGAATGGAACGAAAATCGGCATCATTGTTTGCTTCCCGTACATCAACCGTGTATTTTTAATTGTTCGATTCATAAGAGAGTTCTTCATCATTCTAGCACACACACACGTTCTTGCTGAAGGCATACTTTTATCAAAGTGGATTGAGCGTTAAACAACACATTTGATCGGTAGGCAAGTATAAAATGTCAACACAAGAACGAAGAAAGATTGTGCGATATGTGTCTTCTCTCTCAACTCATACTGTAAGAGAGAGAATTACAATCTCTTCGTATTTTGTAGATTTACACAGTGGCCCATAAGTGGATGTGGGTGTCTCGCGACAATCTCACCTACACTCACGTATCTTCTTTTAAAGTTCTGCTTGTAATATATTTTAAAAACTATATAATCATTTATGAATCTGTGAATTATTTGGAACTTGATTGGTATCGAAACTTGATATTATATTAAAGTCGAATAAATCATTGAGATTTTATTTATTAAAATCTTTCTGATCACCAAAACGTTTTTACAAAGTTAAATAATCAAAAAACGCTTTTATCAAATATATATATTGCTCTAGTCTATGTATGAAGACTAGTAGCAGGCAAATATCTTGATATTTGATGTAGTTGATTTCTCATACAAGCAAATTTACTTCCACCAAAATCTAAATGACGTCCTGTACCAACTAAATGAACCCAAAGAACAACTACTTGAGCAAAATTATCAGCAAAATTGCTATTAGCATAAGCATCAGGAACACATGTATCTCGTGCTACAGCATCGCGCCATTCGCTGGATGCCGACTTACCACGATCCATTGAGTGTGCAGATTCATGAATAAAAACTGATACATGCATATTACTTGAACAATAGTATGAAACATCTCCACTTGATCCAGCTCCACCACATACTCCAGCTGGTGATGATACCATTGCTTTATTATAAAGACGAATAGGTGCAGGAACTCTTCCCATTGTATCAATCATAACACTGGCACCTGTAACAGCATTATTACACATGCATAAAACAACACTGTGACTTATAGAACCATGATATGAAACAGTTAGAACATCTTGTACTGGTGCACCATGACAATTACATAGATTTCTATCACCTCCAGAACCAGCAGGACTTGTTGGAGCTCGAAGAAAACTGAAATCAAGATCACCAAGTCCAGAAAGTAGTGCAGGTTTGCCAAGATCCTGTATACTTACATCGATCAGCACCAATACAATCGATAAATACAAAGTTAGATACTTCTGCATTTCGTATTTTCTTTTTCTCAATACAAATTTTAAAAGAAATAACCCTTTTAAACTGCTTTTATATACTTAATATGCGTAAAAATATTTAGAGAGGTATCACAAGTAAAAGTACAAAAATAAGATTGTAACTGATCTGTTTTTGTTGAATTACAACATTTTATCTCTTTTTAATTCTGTTATAATTGGAAGATTGCTATATACTTTCATATGAAAAAGAAAAAACTCAATGCTCTACACAGATGGCAATTAATACAAAGATTGACTAAGAGTATCAAGAACGTATTATCAGCAGTAAACGAGTTTGATTCTTTTACAATCAATTTATATCGATACTGGTGAAAGGTAAAGCTTCTATTCGAAATAAAATTCGATTTTACTTCATACAAATTCTAACTGAATTAGGATGATATACAAAATGCTCAAATACTTGAATAATATTTTAATGAGAAAACGAAAGATTACGTGTATATTATCAAGTTTGAAACTATCAAATACAATTAAAAATGAACAGTTATTAATATTAACTATTTATTCTAATCATATTTGAGCAAGTATATATATGTATTTTGTCACAGATAATAACCCAGAAATCAGAAGAGACTAATTATTTCTTATGTTTTCATATTGTCACAAAATGCTCCATTGAGTTTCTGTTAATAACTGCAATGGTGTGTTTTAATAGGGATGTTTCATGTAAAATTCTTCTACTAAATTCAACGTTCGCTCATAAAGACGGTGTAAAAGCAAGCTATATATATATTGTTATTTAGAAGTGCAATTCATTATTTGATTTATTATCAAATTTAGTTGATTGACCTTATTTTACAATTAATTTTAATGTCACATAGAATTATTTCATGGTATTAATCGTTGTAGTTAATGAATACGCAATTTTTTTTACTACTATGATTCGGAGGAGAGGTGCAGCGCATGGTTTTTTTTAATACAATGATATTGAAATTTATCTCACTTTTCTCTAGTCAAATACACGTCGAGAACATCTAAAAGAGAAAGATAACGAATAGCTCTGTTGTGTACACGTAAAAATGCGCAATGAAAGAAAAAAAAAAATAAAAAAGAAAGCTTTATTATTATACTGGATCTTTTCAGATAAGGTAAAAATTAGTTTTTCTTCTTTCCACAAATAGTTAAATTCAACAATCTCTTTCAAACAAAAAGTAAAATATATTTTCATTTAGATATGCCTCGGACAATGAATTTAATTATTCTTACTATATTTATTGTCCTTTGTTATACACAATTAATTAGCTGTGATACATACTGTGCCTGTAAATGTTGCATGGGACAACCATGTACACCAACATCTCAAGGAAGTCTTTTTCTTGACGCTTGTACTGATTTGAGATGCACGATTCAATGTCGTATGGAATATCCAAGATCATGTCCACCAGAAGGAGTTTCTGGCATTACAGAAGGAAGATGTACATCAGATCCTCCACCTGGTTCTGCTATTCAACAAAAGGCAAATATTGCTTTGATAACAATATTTTTTTCAATCTTTTGTATTGTTAAGTTGTATATGTGAATATATATTAAAAGATGAGATTTTATGGTTTTGTTTAAAGAAAAATGTATAAAAGAAAAATAAATATAATTTTTTTTAGAATTGATGTATTGTTTATCTTTTTCTTAAATAAGATTAAATTCCGACTTGTAATAACGATAACCCGTGCAATTTCTATTCAACAAGACTATAAATAGATTATTTTCTATTCATTTCTCGCTCAACTAATAGACAAGCACAAAACTTTAGTGATCATTAGAATATTGTATAGCATTTTTAAATTTTTTTTTTTTGAACTTAAACACAATTTAATCTATTTTTTTATTATTGATCTGAATAAATAAAATATTTCATCGAAAAGCAAAAAAGCAAAAAATGTTTATTTCTCTGCCAATGTATAATTGAAATAATATTTTTGTGCTCTTTCTAAGATTTGTTTTGTTGAATGATGACGAGATTTTGATGATAATGATGAATAAAAATATTTATTTAAATCTTCTTCATTTGAATAAGATAAAATTTTCATTCGATCTTCTTGTAAAATCGATATACAAATAAATATTGTAAATAATGATCGATTATAATTTGTTCTTATTGATGAAGCTATTGAATTAATCCAAATAAGTTCAAATACACGAAGAATATCATCAAATCGATAAAATTCTCTTTTACAATCAAGTAATAACCAACGATAAACAAACAAATTCTTTTCTTCTTCTTCTTGATTAAAATAAATTTTCTTCCAAAGTTCATTATCAATTGAATGAAATAATAAATTAAATAAATAAAGACGATGATTTATTTCAATTTGATCTTGATCAAATAATGAATTCATATAACGAGTCATTAATGAACAATATGCAAAATAACTTAATGATTCATCGAGAAATACATATACAATTGGAGTTAACATATCACTCATACCTTGACTATAACAAGGATACGGATGATAAACACTATAAGTCATCATTATATTAAATAAAATTTCTTTTTTCTCTAAAATATAAATTTATATTGAAATGAAAAATAAGAAGAATAGATAATGATTACTTTTAATAAACTTAACATGTCTATCAGTACGATGAACATCTCGCAATATTTTATCAGCTAATACGAGATAAAATTGATCACCACGAGAAATACGTTCTTGCCATACTCGTTTTAATCTATTAATTCAATTGAAGATATATATATATATATATTAATTCCATGTTTTTCTTATTTACTTATTATAACGAATTTGTGCTTGATTTTGATAGATTTTTTTGTCATAATTAGTCATTGATGGTGAATAAATATTTAATAAATAAGGCCATGTTTGTTGACGTTGTTTATAGGATTGTTTATGATTAGAAATATTTGTTCGTAAATGATTTTTATCAATCAGTGAACCATCTTTATTAAATAAACGATTATTTTTAGATTGAAAACCAAAACAACTTTTTAATAAATCTATGAAAGAAAAAAATAGTTCTTTATTTCTTTTCCAATATATTTATATTACCTTTGATATTTTTCCATATTTGTCGATGACCCTGACGATATTGTTTCTGTTCTAGTTCAATATGCATTTTTTCTTTCTATCTATTAGTTCGGGTGAAAAATATTCTTTGCGAATGATTTAAATAGTCTAATGTTGATTTCACCTTTGCTTTGATTAATACTTATTATTACAGATCAAATGAATGAATTACTTTCCTTTTTTTTCAAGAAAAAAAACAGATGAGCTGATCAATTGTTTATTGATGTAAGAATAGATCTTTTCTTTGTATATTGAATAATCAAAAGGAAATAAACTACATTTTTTTCTCATCAAATAAATTCAATATATAGAAAAAACAAAAATTTATCGAATTGGAACATCGATTATTTCGAAGATTCAATATTTATAGTTTGCGATTCAGCTGCTTCGAGATCATCTTGATTTTTTAATTTAGTATTTTGTTTCTTAATTCCTTTTTTAACCCAATTTTTTAATAAAATAACAAAAATCGCCCCGATAATTAATTGTTCAACATGATAAATAATTAATGGTAATGAAAGTATTCCACTTAAATCTTTATTTGCATTTCCATACAAAGCATTTATTAATGGAATTCCCATTGCTAAAGTTTTTGTTGCACCACAAAACATAATTGCAACTGTATCTTTTTCCGAAAATTGCCAATAAGGTATAGGTAATCTTGATAGAAGTATAATTAATAATGAAAAAAATAAATAGATTCCAGCATTAATAAAAATTAAAATAAGAAGATCTTTCTTATGTATTGTTTCAAATGCACCTGTAGCAAAAGCATTAGAAAATACTGCCCAAACAAGAATTAATAAAGCTAAACTATTTAAATCGGAAAAATAAAATTTTTCACGTATATATGTCACTTTTTTTGTCCATAATAAATGAATTATTTGTCCAATAAATAAAGGAATTAAAACAGTTAAAGCTAAATTTTTAATAATACGACCATAATCTAATTGATTATCACTATTTGTTGTATTTGATAATGAATCAAATATTGGATTTTTAAGAAAATATAATATTAAAGCAGGAGAAATAAATATTCCTAAAATATTTCCAAGTACAGCATTTAATAATGCTGCATATTCATTACCCAGTGCATTTTTTGTCATAACTACATTACTAGAAATAGTTGTAGATGTTGATGCCATTATTATTATACCAACAATCAATGCTTTATTTAGCGATAATTTTATTAATAATAAACTAAAAGCATAAATTGTAAATGGAATTATTAGTAAACTATAAATTTGAACAAAAAGATGAAGACGAATATGAAGAATTTCTTTGACAAGTTGTCTTGTTCTTAATGATAAACCGCTGAGAAAGAAAATAATTAATACACAACCTAATTTAACAGACCATTCCGAACGAATATATCCACCTGTTTTACCTATATTTGGAAATAAATATGCAAGAAAAATAACCAAAAATAAACCAATAATAAACCAATATTTTCGAATAAGTGGAAAGAAATAAGATGAAGTCTTTTTTTTTGATTGTTCATCTTGAATATTTTGTATAAATGTATGAACAGGTAAAATCATTGTTGGTAAACAATAGAAACAAACAAATGTATCATTATAAATAGCACAAATTTGTGGAAAATCTGTTAAAGAGATTGTATCCAATGGAATATTATTAGAAACAATAAGAATCACAGAATTATCTTTCATTTCATTTAAATATTCTTTTAATAAATCAAAATTTTCAAATTTGTTTACAAATTTAATTTTTGATAGAGTTTTATCAGATAAATTTCCAAACCAAATAAGTGAAAATCTATTTGGATCATCGGTTTTAGTTGACATTTGATTTTTCACTTGATTGAATAAAATCTAATTTAGAACAAAAAAATAAAAGTAGTATAATAATAATTCACTATTAGAAAATATTTATTTTTAGGACAAGAATTCAACGATCATTGAAAAAATAGAGTTTTACTATTCTTTTCATGTGTTACCTTACTTAGTTACATTTGATATTGTGAAGTATCTCAAGCATGTTCTAATCATCATCATTCTTATCTATTCTCTTTTTCTTAACACATTCCTTGAAGGTTATTATATAGTAAGGCCTTTATACACGTGTACTTCTCAATAGTGAGTAACTCCCGATACTGAGCGATCCCAGTAAATTTTACTACAAACGTGAATTCGATGAAAACAAACGATTGTATGTGTATTACGTTATGATACACAACTATCAAACACGTACAATGCAAGATTCCTGTGCGATTCCTGATGAGCTATTAACTGTAAAGTATATCAAAATGAATCAAAGTCAACAAATATTTAGCTTGATATTAAGATTACGATTCAAATCATTCTTCATATTTATTCGATGTTGACGGTGTCCATATTAAAGAATATTTTTTTGCTTAAATCATCATATACCGCGTGACGGATTCAAGTCTGACAGGTGTATTGGGAATATTTGCAATTAATACTCCTGTCCCGACTTTCGACTGAAAACAATCTTATCATTATGTATTAACTTTTAATAAACCTTCTCATGAGAGTTACAGGTTAGCCCAAAAGTCATTTTATCGAAAAAGCTTGAATATCTTTATTACGACTCACCTAAGTAAGCTCATTTTTTTATTAAGAATACAAGCACTTTCATACTCCAAATCCGTACGAACAAGATCAATGAAAAGTTTTAGTGATATTTAAGAATATGAGTTTTTTCTATACCGAAATTCACACGCACCTTCAAGATTCTTTGAATTATAAAAATTGAAAATCTTTATTTTGTACTTTAAAAAAAATCGTAAAAAATAATTAAAAAATTTCTTGTTTATCTATTTAATAGAAAATCCAGAATAAAATAATTGTTTAATATAAGTTATGCAAGTTCCATAGCTTCATCTGATTCATTATTTTTTTGTTTTACTTTTTCATTAACAATATCAAATTCAATTTTTTTCACATTCGTTGATAATACTTTTACTCCTTTTTCCAATGTATAATCAATTTGTCTAAATAGAAATATATTTCGATAATTCTAAGAATAGGAATGTTATTTACCTATCACCACGAACAGCAACAATTTCATATGGTAAAAATTTATCTAACTTCTCTTTTGTTAATACATACATATTAATTTTACTACCAGAATATAAATCAGTTGTTATCGAAGCATAAAGAGCATCACGTACTAATTGTTTTGCTTCATTTTCCTAGATAATATTTAAAAAAAAGTATTTATTCTTTTTAAATTAAATCAACTTACATTCATATGTTGTTTAAAACGATCTTCAATAACAGATAATGATGTATATCCACCAGAACCTAATTGTACAAAGAAAAGTGATTTAAATCAAAAATGATTTTTTTTATCTTTTACCAGAAGCAATATAGGGCATGTGAGAGGCGGTACCATAAGGTTCAATTGCAGCTATATGAGAGCCAGTTACATCAACACCAACAATGATTAAATATGCACCAATATAACCTTTATATCTAATTCAGTGAAAGAAAGTATAAACAAGAGATTTTCTATAGGCAATTTTTATTTGGTAATGTTATTATGACTTCAATGACGACGGAACGAGACATGACCTATCGGATCTAGAAACTATGGATCTCAATCTAAAGATGCAATAAGATCTTTTTTAAGCTATGTGTATTAATGATAAAACTAAACTTTCTATTGTCTTTGATTAGATTCTCAGTTCTATCTTCAATAGATAAGATATTACATCATTCGTATATCATGTGTATTGTATCTATGATCATATACCTATATAAATGTTGTTGTAACATTCTAACAGCAGTCGCGACTCTAACTTGTCGGTCTTGATTTAATCTAAGTAATTCAAGTTTAGATTCAAGTATACGTGCTTGAAAATCACAATCAGCTGCTGTTCCTGCTCCAAGTGCATAAATATTATCAGATAAACGATGAATTTTTAATACATTCTCATCATGTATTATATGTCCTGCTGTAGATCGACTATCAGCACCAATTACTACACCATCCTTTATTATAAATTATATATTTAACTATATAAAATATAGTAAATCTTTATACTTTATATTTTATAGCAGCAATTGTTGTGCCTGTTTTTCGTACATTGCCTGGCAATACACCATTACTTAGTAGGAGTTCATTTCTAAATAAATAAAATGAACAAATATAAAATAATTATACATACATATGTATATACATTACCGTTGACAATTATCAAAAATAAATCCACCTGATGTTTGTTTAAAAGCAAAAACAGACATCTTTTCCTATAAACGGAATTAAAATTGAGAAATTGCAAGGAAGTACGCACTTAAATAAAGCAACATATAGCGCCATCTATGGTTACAAATCATTAAAAAATATTCATAATTTTTTTTTGCAGCAAATCTTTTTCTAATCTGATTAGTTTTTTGTTAAATTTTTCAATAGAATTTCATATTAATCGAACTAAAATTTCGATAGTTATTTTTAAACCAATGAATATCAAATAAAACTTGTCTTTTCGTTCGAGTTCGAGAAATTACTGTATTTCTAAATTTTACTAGACTAAACAACTGTTATTTTAGATAGACAAAAGAAAAATGTCTCCAACAGGTGATAAAAATGTTGTTCATCGTCCAGGTGCTCTTAAACAACAAAATAAAGCATTTAAAACTGGTCGTCATCGATCTCAACATGAAATAAAACGAAGCACTCAAGGTTTATTTTATTTCTCTTATGTCTTTTCATTTTTTTGTTAATAAATGAAATATTTTTAGGTCGAGTTGCCGATAAAAAACATGCACGTAGTTTAAAACGTTTAGGTGTAACACCGAAACAAAATCGAGTCAATACAGCAGTTCAAATTCGAAAACAAAAACTTCAAGCAAATAAAGAAGCAAGACAAACTATTGGTGCCATTGATGGTGTTCCACAGATTATTGTAATTATTTAATATTATCCTAGTTTTCATTATCATTAGAGACATGGAAGACTATATACTCCTTGTTAATTGAGATTCGTTCGAACTTTGTATAAAAACGAGTAAATCGAAAATACTTTCTTTCTTTGCTAGATAAATAATAAAATGACGAACTTAATTCATATTAAAAATACATTCATTCATTCATTATACTCAGATAGCATTCATATACATTTAGAATCAAAATTATCTTATAGAACATGTAGAATATACTAATTAATGAGAGAATAAACAAAAGAGATTCTTCTATTTAGATCGACATAATAAAAACTATAGTAATAAATGTGTTATTCTTTTTTTTTATTGTAAATATAATTAATAAATAAAATATGTTATTTAGACAGTAATACCTTTATCATCGGATGTGAATGTATTTTCAATAATAGAATTATTAACCAATTCAATTGATGATACTAAATCATCTGATATAGCAACAGAATGTGGTGCAAGAATTTATACGTATATTCTTTAGTTTTCTTGTTCTTATAAAATTAAATTTTGTTTTTATTTAGATGTCCAAAACTTCGTTCAAAATTTTGTTTTTTAACTCCAACACCAACAAATTTCGAAAATATTCTTGATGCTGCAAAGGTTTGATTTTACTTGATTTTCTAATTCTAATTTAATAAATAAAAACTTTAGTTGTCGGATACAATAATCTATGTAATATCAGCATCAAGTGGTATATCAATTGAAGGAGATTATTTACTTGATTTAATAAATGTTCATTGTTTACCTGGAAGTATAATTTATTCGGTTGTCTCATCGTCAACAGATGATTCAATGTCAGTAACATCATCAACATCTCGTCATTCATTATCTCGAAATTTAGAAAGATTTCTTCAAAAAAGATTTGCAAATGTTAAATTAGTTCCATTAGATAATGAACAAGATGGTCAACGGCTTTTAAGAAAATTAACTGAACAAAAATTAACTAAACCAACAAAAAAATGTTTAAGACCTTATTTATTTGCTCAAACATATTCTTATGAAAATCCAAAAGTAAAATATTTTCTTTGTTTATTTTATTTAATTAATTTTCTTATTTAGTCATCAATAAGTACATTAAAATTAAGTGGATATTTACGTGGTATACATTTATCACCAAATGAACTTGTTTATATTCCTGGTTTAGGAACATTTCAATTAGAAAAAATAGAACAACATCAATTTCAACGAGATGTAAATTAAATAAATTTTTATTTTTGTTATTTTTAATGAAAATAAATTTAGTCTGATGGAATTGTAAAACCTATTGTTGAAAAAGTTTATTTACCCCAACCTGATGTTCAACGATCATTGGCATTTGAAGCTGATTTAGATCCATCAATTAATTATCAAGATCAAACATGGCCAACACAGGAAGAACTGGAAAAAGCCGAAATAGAACAAGCTCAAATAAAAAAACGTGTACCAAAGGGTACATCAGAATATCAAGCTGCATGGATTGTTTCAGATGAAGAAGAACAAGTCTTTATTTTTAAATTTATTTTAATAAATTTATTTTTATAGAAATGTTTTCTTTTAGGATTTTGAAGATGATGATGAAGAACAACAAAACATGATAACCGCAAATGCTGATGAATTAGAATCAATTCAACTTAATCAAGAAGAATACGAAGAAGAAGAAGAAGAAGAAATGGATGAACTTGTTATGAATCCAAATAATTATGATGAAAAATTAGATTTAGAAGAAGATAAACAAACGTTTGTTAAAAGAAAACTTTCTTTTTAAAAAATATTTTTATTTCTTTTTTTTTAGTTTAAAAAAAATTAAAGAAGCGAAATTAGATGAACAATTTCCTGATGAAGTTGATACACCAATGAATATTCCTGCTCGTGTTCGATTTCAAAAGTACCTTTTTTTCTTTTTAAATAAATCAATTAATTTCATGTTCTGTTTTCTAAAGATATCGTGGATTAAAAAGTTTTCGAACAACAAAATGGGATCCAAAAGAAAATTTACCTGAAGAATACGGAAGAATCTATCAATTTCCTAATTTTCGAGCAATGATTAAACAAATACAAACTGAACAAGAAGATAATCATGAAAAACAAGATCATGCACAGGTGAAATATTTCTCTTTTTCTATATTCCAAATCAGTAAATTAAACTGTTTTTTTTTTCTTTGTAGGTACATAGTTATGTAACTCTCTATATAAAAGATGTTCCAGTTAATCGATTTGGTAAAACAACTTTTTTTCTTAATAAATATTTTTGTAAAATATGTATCTATATGTAGAACCTGGTCATCATATATTTGTTTCCGGTCTTTTACCTCATGAACAATGTCTTTCTGTATTAAATATTGTTCTAAATCGTACAAATGATAGTGAAATAGTACTTAAATCAAAAGAACGTCTTATTTTTCATGTTGGTTTTCGTCGATTTGCAAGTGCACCGATTTATTCTCAACATTCACATGGTGATAAACATAAAGTTTGTTTCAAATTTATAAGATGATTAAAGGAAATTTTTATGATTTTTGTTTTATTTGTAGTTTGAACGATTTTTTCGACCACGTCAGACATTAGTTGCAACATGTTTTGGTCCAATAACATATCCACCAGCATCTGTACTTGCTTTTAAAGAATTTCCTGATGGTTATTTTATTTAATATATTTAATAGACAAAATATTTCTTCTTTTTATTAAAGGTCGTCAAGAATTAGTAGCAACTGGTTCTCTACTTTCAGTTAATCCAGATCGTTTAGTTCTAAAACGAGTTGTTTTAAGTGGACATCCATTTAAAATTCAGAAAAAAACAGCTGTTGCTCGTTTTATGTTTTTTAATCCTGGTTAGTTCAGATTTGTTTTAAATTATTATTCAATGATTTTATTTTGATTTCGTCTAGAGGATATAAATTGGTTTAAACCAATTGAATTGAGAACGCGTTGGGGAAGACGAGGTCATATTAAAGAATCACTTGGTAAAATAGTTTTATTATTATATTAAGAATAATTTATAATTTCTTTCAAGGTACACATGGTCATATGAAATGTCAATTTGATGGAATTCTTAAATCACAAGATACGATCTTTATGAATTTATATAAACGTGTTTATCCCAAATGGACATATGAACCATTCTCAATACAACAACATAAAGAAGAAGATATGCAATGAGCAGTTTGTTTTAAACCGTTATATGTTTTTCTTCAAAAATGAATAAAAAAGAAAGAATCTGTTACCTTTAACTATTACTTTTATTCTAACATTTAGATAGATGTGTCTGTGGACTTGAATTATGAGAGAAGGTGAAAAAATGTTGTACAACCTCACCCACACCCACATCCACAAAGAATCTTCTAGTTGAAATCTCACAGTAACCACGTGGTTTTCGTTTATCCATAAGCCATTCAACAAAGTTGAACATATATAATGAATAGAAACCAAATTCATATGTATATAGTCAATGGAATCATAAAAACATACAGATTTCTTTTCGATTGCATATCACTAACGTCAGTTATTTATATTGTATTGAATGAAGAGTGAAACTATGAGCGTCGAAGTGTATTTTCTATTGCTCTTACATCCATTCAATTATTATATCAGTTCCATCTCACAGGGATGATATTCTGTCATTAATAATATATAAGTGTTATCGAAATATTAATTTTTTTATTATATATCATTTTCTCATACGTAAAATGACAAATAAATTACATTATTAAACATTTTAAATGTTTTATACTACGAGAAGATTTTGTTGGTTCAATAGAACTACAAATAATTTGTTGAGATTGATTTTTATTCTTGTAAATAGTATCATGCACCTGGTGTAAGTTCATTTCAGGTTTTAATTCTTTTAAGTAAACATTATCAGACATAACATCCTCTAAATAATACCCAGTTGAAGTACATGTTGCTTCAGTAAGCGGAACAATTGATTTACTAATACGACCACGTAAATGTTCTGGTAAATAATATCCTCTATGACCTTGTAATGCAGCACATATAAGACTATGAACAATTGTATGACGAGGACAACAACCAGCTACAATATCAACATACCGACGAATATCTTCATCATGTTCATATTGCCACAACCATGTAAAGGTAGCTTTTAAAGAAAGATCATTTAAACGTGCATCAATATCAGATTGGATAACACCATGACCACAATCAATATTAGTACCAATGACTGCAATGTATTTTGATTTAACTTCATTCGAAGACAATAGTTGAATTGCACGAGCATGTGACATATCTTCATCCGGGGTTCCTATTATAGGATGATATCTTTAACAAAGATTTTCTCAAATCAATCATATATTTACCTAATTGTTGTTCATTGCCTGTTAATAAAATATCTGAACCACCATCAATTAAAATAATTTCATCAATAGTCCGTCCGTCTATCAAATATCTGTAAGCTTCGATGATTAACTCAATACGAGTTTCATCATAATTACATAGAATTGCATAAATAGGTACTTGAATTTCATTTGCTAAACGTTGTTCAGGAAAATAAGTATTATCAGTCAACCATGATATATCTTTTGTTGGAGAAACACAATAAAGAAGTGTTGTTAATTGTTTACTATATTTAGATAAAAGTTCACGTGTAGTGAAAGTATAGTTAATAAGTGTTGTTTCATAATTATTAGAAGATTTTATTTTAAAATAATATGGTAAACCACCGAATAAATCATAACCACCTCCACAACCAGATATGAAAACGATTTTAGTTGTTTCATTGTTCATTCTTTTACTACACGATCGAGTAATGCCTAATATATATGAATAGAACACGTTACATATTTTCTGATATAAGAAATGCAGAGAACGAGAAGAAGTAGAAGAAAAATCATAAACACAACAATATTTTTTCTTACTGTCAATCGTAATAATTATTTACTCTTTTCCTGTGTCACCGAACGAAGAATGGAGAAAAAGAAAAATTATTACATACGACTTTGGTTGCGGGAGTTTTTCGAAGATAAATAAAAAGTTGGATTTTATCCGTTTAAAACAATTGACTACATAAAGTCTCATAATTCTAATTGTTTTCAATGATTAAAACTCTTGTAAATATTGGTAATAGTCATATAGAAAATCTTAATATTCTATATCAAAGTACATATATAAGAGAAACTAACATCTAATTGTCTGACAATATAAAATATAAGTAATAATCATCACATCATATAGATATAATACATTTCAAATTTTATGAGATTTTTATCGTGAAAAAACTTTATTAATACAATGTACTAACATTTTCAATCCTTTAGAATAATCATAAGTCGTCAGAAAATGAGTGATTGATCACATTCATAGCGTTAATACGATATTAAAATGATTTCGAATATTCTAATTCTTTTTGAATTAGATATTACTAAAACAATTTCTACTATAGAATTGCTCAGTTCACTTCTTAGAACTAAAGAAAAAAATAAGATAATTAAAGATAAACTATATTACGTTTAACATAAGAAGATCATAGAATAAAAAGAAATAGTTCGTTCTCATGTTATAAAACTAAATTATTAAAAATTCTGATTGACGAAATCTTAATAATTGTTACGTCTTCAAATAAAATTTAATGCATAAATCCAATCATGACCAAGAATGTTATTTCCATAATATTCATCGATTGAAAAATGTTAAAAAACGGATGGTATATACTTGAATTTTTAAATTTGAACTCTAATGAATATATTTATTAAACAATTATGATTTGCTACTATGAGTATTTAATTTAATATACATTTTAGTTAAGCTATATGTTAATTTCGGATACGTGTTTTGTTCCGTCAAAATATTCGATATAGAATTATGATTGCATAAACTCACAGATGAATAATTTGTTATTTTACGTTTTGTGTACTCAAAAAGTGAGTACACATACAGAATCGGTCAGTGTGTCCGACCGTTTATACGATAGTTCTTAAAAGGCTAGACCGATTGTCATGAAATGTTGTACACATCGGAGAACTCAAATCTGTATTGCATTCACCTCGAAACTCTATTGATTGAGCAGTGAACAATAAAAATCAAGTTATAACAAAAAAAGTTTGTCCTATAGGGTAAATAAAAGCGTAGAATTGAAAAATGAGCTATACTCGATCTCAATGTTTTCAGGTGAGCAATAGTTAACAGGAATCGTGCTCATAGAAAAGATTTATTATTGTAATTGTGGTGTTCAGATGTTCTAGAATAACTCATCTGTCTGATACACTTTTTGCAATATAAATAAATTTCGGATAAAATCTGAAGTTTTCGCATTTATCTATTACATTATAATAGAGTCTGTAAAATACTACTAAAGATAAGAGACATAAATCATTTTGCACATGTAATTTGAATAACTCATCAATATGAATTAATCTTTTGTTTTTATTGTATCGAAAATACCTGAATATTAAGCTGTTATTCTATAAACATTATTAGTCGAGGAGATATTATTATACTTCCAAAATGAACATCAATTATTGGAAAAATATTTCGAGATCTAATATTTTTATAAATGAATTAGGATTATAATTTCAAACATATTTTAGTGACTTTTTTTTATTGTGAGATAAAAAAAACATATTTGAATTTTCTGTCTAACATTTCCAATAGCTCTATAATAAAAATAGAAGAAACTAATGAAAAAAATCTCAATCGACTTATAGAGACATCTATATATATATTTTTGTAAAAAAGAAAATAAATGGTGAGAATACATTTTTCGATTAGTTGCCAATGATAGTCCAACGGAGAATGATGAAATCCGTCTGGATCAGTTGTGAATAAATACCATTTGTATTTCTAAATATTAAATACATATTTTTATTAATTTTAGTTTAAGAGAATAAAAATGACAACAAAACGCGATTGGCATCACCAAGTTGAACATGAACGAAGTTTGTTATATAATTGAAATTTATTCTTTTACTTATTTATTCCATTATTTATTTTTAGTACCAGCTAATGAAGTCTATGAAAGTGATGGAAAAACAATTCGTATTGAATATCGAGAAGAAAATGGAACTATTTATAAAGTATTGCTTTATCTATTGAAATATTTTATTTTTTAATTAAATATTTTTATTTTAGACAACAAAAACATATCGAAATCAAAAATTAAAAGTTTTACCAATTGTTGCTGAACGAAAAAAATGGAAAAAATTTGGTAATGCAGCTAATGATTCACCAGGTATTAATACAGCAACAACTAAAGTTGATGATGAAATAACAATGCAATTTATTTCAAATAAAGAAGTTTGTTTGAACGAAAATATAAATTTTATTTTAATTAATTCGTATTTTTTTGTTTTGTTAAGGATAATAAACAAGATGAAGAAAAACTTATTAAAGAAGCCGTATCAACTTTAAGAAAAGTGCAATGCCGATTATGTAAAGGAGAACATTGGACAACTAAATGTCCATATAAAGATAATCTTCAATCTTATATGGATCAATCGACTGATAAGCCAGGTATTATTATAAGATTTTTTATTTGAATTTGACAAATCTAAATGATAGATGTTATAATGAAAATTATCTTGACATATTAAGCATTAAAAATAGTTTATGTATTATATGAAAATCTATTTCATCGACATATGATTCGCATTTATCTATGTTTTCTGATCCTCTCTTATTAGATTTCGATATACATATATTAGACATTCAATGTAGTTTATTATAAATATCAGATTTAAGAGTAGAATTTGACTTTTTAACGTTATGCATTACATATTTATCTGAAAAAATTTGAATACGATATTTAAAATTAAATAATTAACTATTGACATTTTAACAAAAAAAAGAATAGAAAATTATCATATAAAATGGAATACTAAGTATAGTAGTTTGTGGACAATGAAAATATTTTCTGTAGATAATTGTTTGTCAATAAATTCATTCCATATCTCACGAAAAGAATAGAGTTATAACTTTATATATTGAATTATAAATAAATGATATTATTAAAATAATTTTAGCTGAAAATGCTCCACCTTCATCAACAAATACAACATCTCAAGGTCAACATGCACCAAGTGGTGGAACTTCTGGTGAAGCAACAACTGGAAAATGGGTTTCAGCAAGAGTACAACGTTCTGGTGCAGGTACTGCCTATCCTGGTGATAGAGGAGGATCAACACGTGGTGGTGGTAGTGGATCATATGGTGGTAGAAATAGCGATATGAGAAAAGGTTTGTTCTTGAAAAAAATTAACAAATTAATTTTTTATTGTGATTAATCTAGATGAAGCAACAGTTCGAGTAACAAATTTACCTGAAGAAACTCAAGAACAAGATTTACGTGATTTATTTACTCCATTTGGTCCTGTTAGTCGAGTATTCTTAGCAAAAGATAAAACAAATAATACATCAAAAGGTTTTGCTTTTATAACATTTAATGAAAAGAAAGATGCACAAAAAGCTATTGAATGTGTATCTGGATTTGGTTATGATCATTTAATTCTTAAAGTTGAATGGGCAAAGTAATTTATTTTACATTAACACAAAATTTATTTTATTTTATTTGTTTTCTTTTTTTACATTTTAGTAAACCACAGAATCAATAAATAACAACAACA